AAGAAAGGGCGTATAGTGGATACATGTTTTTGTCTGCCAAGTACCCCATGTTTTTTAGAAATAACTCCCAACCAATTGTGTAACCCACAATGGACCAATTGTACTACCTCACGCCCTTTCCAAGGTAGTTCTCACACTTTAGTGTGCATCAGATCCACCTGGAGGACTGCAATTGTTCAACCTCACCCCTACATTGAAAGGAGGGGACTTGATAATTTGCATTTCTAACAAATTCTCAGATATCTAATGCTGGAAAGCCACCAGCCTAAGGGAAGGACATTTGAGCCAAGTCAGACTAATCATGAGTCCTTATGTGGGGATTTTTCATACTAGGGTTAGGGCAAGGAGCCCTTTTCTTCTGGTTACAAAGCTATAAGGATGTAAGGTCTGAACCACCATGCAGAAGAGTCAGTTCGAGAGAATCTAACACAAGAACAAAGTGAAGGGTTGGAAAAGGCCTAATTGGATGCACTTGAGCCATTGATTCAGTCATCCCCAGGCCAAACTCACCACTGCCTTCCCACAGTTCATATGGGGCAATACATGTACCTTAATATACTAGGGGCTGTTTGTTTAGTTAGGTTGTTTATTTAGTTGATTTCTTTTTATCTTAAGCAGGCCTGTGAAGCAGTTGACATTAGCCCTATTTTATAGCAGAGTAAACTGATTCTCAAAGCAGTAAAATAATTTGAATTCAAGCTGTACTTATAGCCACTATCCCATGTAGTTAATAGAATTTAAAGTTGCCATTTTTAGTAGATCAGGCTCTTCTCTTATGAATTTGCTCACTACCTCTTTTCCATAGATAGATGTCAGAAAGTCACCTCTAGCCCAAGGGCAACAGATTTCTGGGCTATGAACCACTTTGACCTACAGATGTGAAATGTTTGGCCAGCCAGCACTGTTAAGCACTTAAAAACTTAAATTCTAAGAGTGTCTTCAGCATCATATGCTTCTAAGTTTGCCAGTGTTTCTGCCTCTTAGTGTCTTATACCAAATCTCTTCTAGCATATAGTTTAGACTCAAGCCACAGTCCAGGCCTGAGCCTCTGCATCAGTTCACTTTCCATCTCTGGAGTAGCTGGCTGGAACTCTGCCTCTTTAACTGGGATTAGCTCATACATTTTCCTCCAACATCCTAATTTTATGAGCAAATATGGTTGCTTAAGAATTGCCTTTGTCCAACTTAGACCCTGCCCCTACCTCATGATGCCAAGTGCCATGTGGGGAACCATGCCACACAGACATAATTCCATGCACTCCAAGCCAAGGACTTCTAGTGTTTGAGTTGTTAGCCAGTACCTTTTCCTTACTTAACAGTGGCCCAAGAGTCAATTAAATCAGATCCAACTTGAAGCTGATAATTGGAAAGCTTGACCAGTAGTTTAGCAAAGTATGAGCTTTAGAGTTCAACTGCTTGGCTTCAAATATTTCTGATGCATAATAGCTGTGTGATCTTAGGCAAGTTGTTCAACCTGTGTCTCAGTTTTCTCCATCTGAAAAATGGCAATAATAGCCCTACTTCATAGAGTGGTTTTTGAGGATTAGATACTTGCAGACTACTCAGACTCACAACTGGTAAGTAGCACTTAATAATATTTAGACTTCCACAGCAATCTTCTGTAATTCTGTATCTTACCCAAGGTAGGGGCTCTATTATATTTTGTCATTTTAAGAGCTAAGTAAACGGTGGAAGCAACTCATAGACTGCTTACTTCGAAATGGATTTTTAAGGCCCTGAGGCTCCTTGTGTGTGGATTTACTTCACCCTGTCAGACAGTGAACTTTGCACCAGATTTCCACAGAACTATGCTAACTCAAGCAGAAAGGCACTTTCCTGCCTTTGGAAAACTGCATCTGAGGGTGAGGGTGAGAAGTTCCCATTTGCTGCTTGGTTTTCAGAATCCAGACACCTCAGATTTATTAGTGATAGTGTGATGGTGCTAAGGACATAAAAGAACTGTTGAGAAGGCACACTGTTGGACTAAATTTGAAGCAAAGAGGAAGACTGTTTTCCACTTATCATCTTAGAAGAAATGAACTTGGGAGTCACTCCAGAGAAAAGCATCTTTGGATTTTATTCCCTTGTTGAATGAATTCAGGCACTCAGCAGGCTGGGGCTTTCTAAAATCCCCCAGTGCTCCCTTCAGTTGCTGGGAATCTCCCACTCGGACCTGAGCCAAGTGTTTGGTTGGCGCTGGCCTTTTAGAGTCCTGGCTTCGCAGTCAAGTCATGGCTTTTTTGCTGTGAATGACGACAGCTGTCTTGGAAACGCTCCTATTCTGACTTGAGAGATAAGGAATAAGGAATCCTGCCAACATATGGGAGAGCTGATAGGGACACAGCACACTGCTGGAAGCGACCCTGCCAGTTCAAGGCCTGGGACCAGTGAGAGGCAGAGTAGACTTTATTGCCAAGAGCCTGATCAGAGCATGTTACACAGTTGCTGCTCCCTAACAACTGAGTTCTTCTGTGTGGCAAGGATTTAGACTCTCTGCAAATGAGGATTAATTGCTCTCTGGGTGTCCTGGACCACTGTAGAGGCCCCTGATTGAGGGAGTCTATCATCACTTCTGGTAAGCCACCTGGGGACAAAGCCTTTGACCAAAGGTAGGGAGGTATAGATCAGTTGCCTCTTTTTGGAGATGAAAGCCCAGAAACAAGACTTGACCAGAATTAGAACTGTTGACAGCAGGAGAGAGCCTTAATCTAGTTCAAATTACTAAATTTTAGAGGCTCCATGACTCCCAGGGTCACGCTGAAAAAGCAGTAGTAGCAAAGTAGGGGCTGGAATTAGGTCTCCTTACTTGGAGGCCAGAACTCTCCTCACCTGATCAGCTGCCTTTCTAGGGCAGATGTGCTAGGAAGGTGCAGTGTTTGAGAAGCAATGATCAGAAATGGCTCAAGACACAGAAGCCCAAGACAGCATTTTCACCTTCAAAGGCCTCTGCACAAGGATACAGTGGCGTCAGACACCCAGCCTTTCCACCTTCCTTCACATACATGTTTGTTTTTGGCCATCCAGCTTGCAGGATCTTAGCTCCCTGACCAGGGATTGAATCCCAGCCACATCCGTGAAAACACCAAGTTCTAACCACTGGACCGCCAGGAACCTCCCTCACAAGCATGTTTTTGAGGGAGGAGCTCAAGCTGCAGGTAGGATAAAGGAGACAAAACTGATAGCAAGACTACAGCCAGGGCAGCAGATAGACGTTAAGGTGCTGGAGGGCTAATGCGTGAAGCCCAGAAGGAAATAGCAACAACTAGGAAATCACCCTGGCATAAAAAGTTTAAAAACACCTAAAATGAACACTGAAATGAAAGGTTTTTGTAAACGGCAATTTTATGTTTGGTGTGCGGTGACCAGTGCTGCTTTTATACTGTGATGGGTAGCATTCTGATATGTGAGGGGGCCAAGAGGCCACCCTGTTCAGCAGCCTAGCTCTAGTTCAACCCTTTCACCTGCCCTGCTGGGCTGGGCTCCCAGCACCCAGGCTGTGGAAGAGAGAGAGCCTGCCCTTTGCGGAAGGCATCCTTTTGTCTAGTTCTGACAAGATAGATCTTTCTTTCGGTAGCATTTCTTTCTGACAGTACACTAAGTGCAGAAGAGGATCTTTGGACTGTTTTTTCCTAATGAGAACATGCTTTACCTAAAACCTATAACTCCAATATCAGTCACAGGAAACTTGGTTGTATATTAATAGATTAAACCACCCTGTCCCTAGCATATGCTTAAAAGTGTTTGCTAAATACAGCAGGCTGGAAGATTGGAAGAGTTGTCTGTGGTCCTTCCCTTACAGAAACTGCATTTGTGTGTTTGAGTTAGTCAGACACTGTTAGGGGCCAGAAGGATAAGCGTTGAAAAGAGTTTCTACTCAGGTCCAACTAATTGTTGCCTTGTGAGAATGAGGCCCAGTATTGCCAGATTTTTAAAGTAAGAAGCCAGAAACCAGATTTATTTGTGAAGTCTCCCCATTTTTAAATGTTTGTTAAATTATTCTGAAAATTTTAAAACATTAAGCTGTCTAAATAAAACATGCTTGGGCCATATGGCTTCTGATTGAAACTTTCTGCCCTGCCCAAGAATTCAAGCAACAATGTATTTTACTGAAATAGATGTTGCATGATCTCTGAAGTGTATAAGTTTTATTACTGAAATATAGCTTTTCTCTTAACTGAAAAATCTAAAACATACATAGACAGACTAACCATTCTGTTCCTAAGAAAAATGCTATCAGTAAATAAATGTACTGAAGTATAGAAGATTTTTTATCTTTCATAAATCATTCCCAGTGGTTTCAGTTTGGCGTATAGCAGACCAGTGTCTGAGAAACTTTACCTGCCAAATTTCTTGGCTTTGGCACAGAAAGGGCTCCCTTTCCTTCAGGCCTTGATATCACCATTCCTTGGTAGTGGGAATTGATGTTTTTTTCCTACAAATGGACTCAAGATTATCTCACTAAAAAGACTTTTTTTTTTTTTTTTCAATTGCAGAATTACAAAGGGGCTGTAAGAAGTAAGGTAGTGGGATTGTGTGAAACCTCTGTGTTTGGCCCTCAGAAATCTCGAAGCCTGAGATCCAGATCCTCTTTTGGGTCCTTCCAACCCTGGAAGCTGAGACCTCACTGAAGTCTAACAATGATTTACATACAGGTGGTTGGTTGGTGGTTTTTCTTCCCCCAAAGCCAACTTTGATTCCATCAGTGTATTTCTAAGGAAAATGTAAACTGTTCATACATTCTCTTAACATCACAGTGAAAAACAAGTACCCGTATGTGTGACAGGGCAGGCAGGGAGCTCCACCTGCTCTGGCCTTGACAGAAGCCCTTGGCCGCACTGGTGAACATGCTGGCTTCACCTCTGCAGACACCTAGGTCGTGCTGTCCCACTGGAGCACCGGTGGACCCCAAAGGCAGGGCAGGGGGCGGGGTTCTTTTTGAAATGTTTCCAGGAGCTCTGTCCAGCTGATTCTGTCTTCCAGCCTGGGACTGCTGCACAAAACTACAAGGACATTGATGAGACCATAGATCTGTTGCCTTTTTCTAGGGAAGACTTGGCTTGGAGTGTGGCTGCCTGGATTCGAAAATGTGTCCTTGACTCCATGGAATAATTCTTATAGTTTTGCCTGGAAGAGACCAGAGAATCAGATACGTGAAGCTGCTCCAGGTTGTGATTTTTCCCTTAGTCTGAGCTGTGGGAACCCACTAGCCAAGGAATACTTTTAAAGGCTAATCCCTATCTCTGTTTAAAGAAAGAGTTGGGCTTAAATTTAATAGGAATTACCTGTTATCATGCCCTCTGGAACCACTGTTGGTCCTTTGGGGCCCAGTGTGAAGGAATGATTTCAAGATCTGTGGGCTAGAAGGCAGGAGAACTGCATCTTCACACCAGCCCTGTAGCTTGGGTGTGACCCCAGATAACTCAGTCATTGAGTCTGAGATTTCAGTTCCTCTTTGGTAAATTAAGGAAGAAGACTCCCTACACCAGGTGAAAGCTGGGTTCCCCCGGGACCTGGGCCCAGCCTCTGGGCTGCCTACACTGCCTTTGCCAGCACCCTCTCACACTGCTGCCTGGCACCTCTGCCTCCCCTGAGCTCATGGGGAACAAAGGCCAGACCAAGGCAATTCAAGCCTTACTTGGCAGTTTCCAAGAGTTTGACGGCCTCTTCATTTCTGCCTTGCTCCATAAACAGCAGGGCCAGCTCCAGCAGGGCATTTGGGATCAAGTAGTGGTCGTATTTAATCCTCTTTTCACTGTAGGACAGAAGAAAACACAGCTTACAGGCTCTGCTTTTGAGCCATCCTTTGGGCACGTCTGCCAGACTCCTCCTGAGCATCTCCCAAATGGGAGGATCCAACTCATGGTCTCATGGGGTTTTCTGATCTGAATTCCAACTTGGAAGGTTCCCACTATTTAGCCCTAGAAAGACTTAACCACATATATATACACCATGGAGTATTACACAGCCATTAAAAAGAATTCATTTGAATCAGTTCTAATGAGATGGATGAAACTGGAGCCCATTATACAGAGTGAAGTAAGCCAGAAAGATAAAGACCATTACAGTATACTAACACATATATATGGAATTTAGAAAGATGGTAACGATAACCCTATATGCAAAACAGAAAAAGAGACACTGATGTATAGAACAGACTTTTGGACTCTGTGGGAGAAGGCGAGGGTGGGATATTTCAAGAGAACAGCATCGAAACACGTATATTATCTAGGGTGAAACATCACCAGCCCAGGTTGGGTGCATGAGACAAGTGCTCGGGCCTGGTGCACTGGGAAGACCCAGAGGGATCGGGTGGAGAGGGAGGTGGGAGGGGGGACCGGGATGGGGAATACATGTAAATCCATGGCTAATTCATTGCAATGTATGACAAAAACCACTGCAATGATGTAAAGTAATTAGCCTCCAATTAATAAAAATAAATGGAAAAAAAAAAAAAGAAAGAAAAACATACCAGAAGCAAAATGTTGTTTAAAAAAAGAAAAGAAAGACTTAACCACAGCAAAGCCTTCCAGTCCTCTGCACCCTGGGCCCCAAGTCCCTGACAACCTATGGTTCACGTCATGTCCTAGGTGCACCTCCACCTCAGTCCCCAGCCCTGCCCCCCATCGCCGCCCTCTATTTCATCGGCAACCCTTTCCCTCTACGACTTCACCTAAGCAGGGAAGGACTGACTGTTGTCACCCGACCTCAGGTGTCTCCCGTGTCCAGGCATTAGCACACGATCTCCCTGCTCCACTTAAAACTCCTCTTTCCTTTTTCTCTGCCTGATAAACTTGCCAATTAAAGTGGCATTGCTGGAAAGCCTTTCCTGGTGTCTAGCATTTGGTTTAGGTCCCTCCTCCTGGCACCTGCTGGCCTCTCTGCTTTCCTCTAGCACAGCCCTCACCATACCAGATTAAGTTACCTATAGCTGTCTCTCTAATATCTGTACTCCCCAAGGACAGAGATCCTAAGTTACAAACTCCAGGGGGCACCATTCACAGGAAACACTGCAGACAGGCTCCTGTCGCTGGACAGTCTGGTGGCCCTGGAGGACAAGGTCTGAATGATCTGGGCCTAGAAGGGTCCTCGCACAAAACAGAAACCAGTACATGTGAAGCAAGTAGGAGTCGGCCAGAGTCGGCACTGTGCATGTGTGCATATGGAAAGAGAAACCCAGAAAATGCTACCCTGAAGCCCCGGGCCCAGGGGGCCATCTGGAGCGAGAGCAGCCAGAGGCACTTACTTGGCAGAGATGCTCCTGAAATTCTCCTCAGCCTCCTGGACACGGCCCAGATATTTCAGACACAGGCCTTTCAGCAGCTTCACCAAGCACTCATCATCCGCTGAGTACTCATTCTCTGAGAATAGGGGAGTGAGGAAAGACAGCTTTGTTCATTTTCTCAACAGTTACTCATGGAGCTCCGACTCTGTGCTGGGCCCTGGGGACACAGAGATGGCTCACACATGGCCCCCGTCCTCAGGGAGCTCACATCAGGGGAGGAAAGACGGATGCTGAGACGATGACAATACAGTGAAATCAGGACCGACTCAAGGAAGCTCAGGGCTTGTGGGAGCCCAGCAGAGGCCCTGATGTTCCCTGGGGGACAAGGGACAGCTTCTTGGAGAAGTTGTCACTGGAACTCAGCCTAGGAAGGCAGAGGACAATTACCAGGGTGGAGAAGTTAGGAAGGACATTTTGGGTAGAGGGAACCTTCAACTGTAAAGACCTGTGGTCAGACCCAGCTGGGCCAGTTCAAGGGCCTGGGGGTAGTCACCTGGGCCCTTTTCCAGCATCTCTTCAGCCTTGATGATAATCTCAAGGATCCCATCTGTGAGTTCTGGCTGCTTCCCAATCACAGCGTAGCCATTCCAAATGTACATCATTTCCTAGGGGCAGGGGAGCAAGTCAGTCCTGGGTTTCCTCCCCAGTGGGGCCTCAAGTTGCTCCATCTATAAAATGTGTAGCGCAGATGAGGATCACTAAAGGCCGTCCTAGCTCTAATCTTCGATGACAAGTCTCAGCCCAGCCTTTGAAGCTGTAGGCTTGAGGGAGTGATGGGGATTCTTAACTCTTACTTATTGAGATCTCTCCTTACCCCTGTGAGAATTTAAGATGGACCCGTATTCTCACTCTTCTCCTCATATAGTTTTCAATTACGTTTCTGTTCCTGGATCCCTAGGGCACTAGTCTGCACTCTCCCAATCTCTCTGTCCAAATTTCCCGTCCTTTGAGAACAAGGTCATGCCCCACACTCTCCAGGGAGTTGTCTTCCTTGCTCCAGCTAACAGGGCCTCCTGTACCAGAGGAATCATAGTTGACGTAAGCTCTTCAGGGGCTTAAGACCAAGTTACCTTCTCTCCTATTTCACTAAGGCAGTGGGCCTGAGTTTCTATCTATGAAACATATGATTTCTTTCTTTGCCTTAACTGCCAGGAAGCTGAGAACACTAAACTTTCATTCTAGTAATTCTGTTAGCTTAGATTAGCATTTCCTAAACTATCAAACCCAAGCAATGGACATGACAGTGACTTGTATACATAAACGTCTAGAAAGACTTTTTATAGTTTTTGTTATGTTCTAGGGAGGAACTTTAAGTTTTGAGAAGTACTTATTAAATCATTACATCGTCTAAAAGAGTTCCGTGGCTAAATAACGGAAAATCTGCATCCTTAAGCTTCTTCTCAGAGACCTACCATGCAGATGAGCATATAAAGGCTCCAAGAAGGTCTACAGTATATAAACTTTGTTCAGGCCGTCTTCCCTAAACGTATTTAATCACAGAAATAATTTTATGCACACAGAGCATCTTGCAGGTTACAGTTTTGGAAATTCTCCCCTAAATATCTGGTTAGTTGCTTTCCCTGCCCCTCCTTACAACATATGCCCCCATTTGATGACAGCTTTATTGTATATTTTGAACTGTAAAATAGTTCAAAATTTACTTAAAGATATTCAGGATATAAGCTCAAATATTGAACTTTTTAATTTCTGCAGTATTTAATAAGTTTTTATCAGCAGATTTTCATCCCTGCTCTATGAAATGGGCTAGGTAGATATTTACATTTAAGGGAAAGGGGACCCTATATGCAAGGTAACACAGTGAACAGCAGAGCCAGGTCTCTGAAGCAGCACACTTCCTACCTTTCTGGCTGCCTTATTATTTGAATAACAAGGACTCGTAACAAACTAGAACCTGCTCTGATCATGCATGGAATTGTCATCATAACTATGATTCAGAATATGGGCTCCAGAACCAGACTGCCTGGGTTCAGATTCTAACTCATCAGCTATGGGACCTGGACAAGTTATTTCATCTTTCTACTTATATCTTATCTATATTTTATCTTCCTACTTATCTGTTAGCCCTTATCATCCCCTTCTGTAAAATGGAGATGCCACCAGCACCTAAGAGGATGCTTATGAAGATCAGATGAGGCAATAGGCAATGGGTGTAACGAGCTTTGAACACAGCAGGTGCCCAGCAACAATGCCAGCAATTACTGTTATTTCAGAGTCGACTGTAACACAGGTCCCAGCCTCAGAAAAGCTTGGGGCAGTGATGGGGGAACAGTATAAACAATAATTAAAATCATGTGACAAGACGGAAATAGACAGGATGGCAACACAAACAGCTGAGAGATGCCTATCTAGGAGAGCTGCGTTTTCCGCTTTCAGGCATCTGCAGCCTGCTCACCTGTCTTCCCACCCCCATCCCTAGTAGACCAGTGCTTTCTCAGAGGTTGAGGTAGGCTCAGACTCACGTGTCCCTCACCCAGGGCCAGGTGATTTGTAAACTCCTCTCCAGGCCCTGGGGTCATGAAGGTCTCTGTCCTCCATCCATGCCCTCCAGGGTCACTGGCTATATCCCTGACCCTCAGCTAATCCCCACAATCCCAAACAAGTGCAGGACCAGTCAAGACCCTCCTACCCACCAGAGCAGGGATGGGCAATGAGATAGGTTTAGGGGAGAGGTAGCGTCTGGACTTCCGGATGGCAAACTTCTCTGTGGGTAGAGATTTCCCAGCAATCTTGAGTTTCAGGCCTGGCACAGCTCTGTGGAAGAGATAAGGAGGGTGGAGAGAGGGCAAGAAAATGCTAGAACTGAGTCCCCAACCTATCCAGCCTCTGCTTGACCCCTCTCTGGACCTCATTTTCCCCATCTATATGATGAGAGTGTTGGATTCATAGCCTGCGGCTACGGCCTAATGTCATACGCCCTGCCGCAAGATCTGACCACTTCCTGTGGCTCGGCAGGCTCCTCTGCACCAGTAGCTGGAGGTGAGGCTGTACATGACCACCACCCCTCAGGCCTGCTCTGCCTTGCAATCGTCCCTCTCTACTCCCAGCCCCCATTTCCTGAGGGCCCAGCAGAAGTCTGACCCTAGTTTCACAGAGGAGATTTAAACTCATAAAGGGAAGGACCTGCCCAAGACCACACAGCACAAACCTTTCATAAACTCTGGCCATGTGAGTTGCGGCCTCCTCAGCTGTTTCCCAGGGTAGAGTAAAATGTGGTATGCAGCTGAGCAAGACTACATCTGGGGCCCCATGTGGGGCCCCATCCACCCAGCCCTGCCTTGCCCTGAACTTCTGCCACAATCATGGGGGTATGGCTGTGACCTGAGCCATCCAGGCCCAGGAAACAGCTGGACCTAGTTGTGAGGTCCCCACCAAGCACCTCTGCCACTTATTCACTGTGGAACCTGTCTGGGCCTGCTTTCTCATCCCTAAAATGGAGACAATGATATGAAAAGGAGAAGTTGCTACCCCCAAATATGCATCTTTGGCATAACGGTTATTTTAGACTGATTATTTTTAAGAAAACAGCAAACACACAAAATGCTCTGAAAATCTAGTAGAATTTAACCTTTTTGTAAGACATTTACAAGGGAAATGTCCATGTGTAAGGATGTCTTTCTCTGGACCAGAAAGAGGAGGAAGACTAAATCTCTAAAAACTTATCAATGAAGAAGGCGGAGACTAAAATCTGCATAACAACCATATACCTTCTCTTTTATCTGAAAACCTCCCATAATTGGCTCCCCATCCAACTAAATCTTCTTTTTTGCTTTAGCCAGAGATGGCACTTAAGGTAACAGCTTGGGCCATTTCAGAGAGTCAACTCAGTTTTCCTGGGCCCCTCCCATACAGGAGTTATTAAATTTCTGTTTGCTTTTCCATTAATCTTATTATGAGGGTCTCAGCCAAGAATCTAGAAGGATGGAGGAAAAATAACTCTTATTTCCCCACAGACTCTTCCCCTCACAGATCTTCTAGAAAAATTATGTAAGATGCAGAGACTAAGTCACTCAGTAAAGTCACACAGCATCCTGTGACTGACGGCCCAGGAAGCAATGGTCACACTCACTTCCATATCTGCAAGTGGGGGCCAACCCTCACCGGGACTGGGGGAAAGCCTGGGGCTCCCTCCTCAGCCTGCCGTGGCTCAGTCCTGCTCTAGGCCCTTCACTGAAGGCAAACACAGCAGTGCAGGGAAGAATAAAAACAGCCACCATTGATTGGCTCCAGGCCCTACTGCAGACTCTTTAAATCTGTTCTCTATTTGATTTGCAAAACAACCCTGCACAGCCCAGTTTGTTATTCCCATTTTATAGATGCTGAAACTGTCCCAGATGACAGGAACAAATGGCATTGGCTAGACTTAATCCTGCTTACGTGATTCCAACTCTGCTTTTCTGAGTGTAATCAGGTTAACTCGGCAGAAGGAACCTCTCTGGACCTGTGTCCACATCTGTGCTACACTCTGGATGAAAGAGGCACAGTGGGAATGATGCTGACAAAACCACGTTTGTGAAAGAAAACCTGAACAGATTCAAAGGGATCCAACAGCAGCAGCAAGAGCAGGTGCGGGTGGGAGACAACGACAGGCGTGGGGTGGGGGGAGGCCTGGGGAGGGCTGGGGGTTCAGGGCCCAGGGGATGACAACCCCCTCATCTCCCGCTGCTCAGGGTGGCTGTGGGCAGAGCCTGGCTGAGACCAACAATGGAATGCAATGGCTGGACCCACCTAAACAGCTCCACTTCGTCATCTCCGAACGGTTTGTAGTCCTCCTTCCCAAACATGCTGAGGTAGGCGGCCTTCATGTAGATGTAGGTGGCCTGTGTGAGGCAGAGCAATGAGCAACCTGCCCTCTAAATCACAGTCCTAAACTGGCACAAATACCTCACTGGAACCTCACTACGGACCAGCATAGTATTATATTATCCCCAACCCGCAGGGGAGAAACTGGGTGAGGAAACAGAAACAACTTGAGGACGTGACCTAGGAGTTAAATCCATGAAGGGCCATGTCTAAGCACCTGACCTCTCCACTTTGAAGCAACTGGGCAGACTCAAGCAGGCGATGCTGAGGACAGGGTGAAGATGCAAAGACGGGGCAGCAGGGGCTTCAGGGAAGATCAAAGGGAAGCAGCCACTTCACACCGGGCCCTTGAAGGCCAATGGGAAGATTCACAGAAAGAGAAAAAGGACCTGCCACGCAAGGGGAACATCCTGATCAAAGGGAGGGCAGAGATGCGTGTAAGCGGGATACAAATGGGTGGGTAGCATAAAGCACGGAATACACACAACGTGTGAGGCCAGGAAGGGCAGAGACCTGGGTTGGGGCTCAGCTCAGGGTCCCTTGGTAAGACTGCCTTGCTGTGTACCAGGCACTTTACAAATGTCACTTGATCGCAAAGACAATGCTTCCTGGGACCACAGGGCTGCTAGGGGCAGAGCTGGGAGGGGCCCCAGATTTGTGTGGCTTCAAGGGCCTACCCACTGGATCCACTGACAAGAAAGGGATGGTTTGCAGAGCCCCAACCTCACCCCCATCTCAGAGATCTATCCCTGAAAGCCGCTCCCCTTTGCCTGAAGTTCAATGCCAGAGGAGCCTGGCTCTGTGCTGCCCTCCAGTGGTCGAGTCTTGAACCACAGCTCCTGCCACCTGGGGCTGCTACCCAGCAAAGTATAGCAGGTAGAGGAGGGAAAAGCATCCTGGAGTCTAGTCTTAGGAGGAAGTGGAAAGCAACCTCCACCTGGGAGCCCCATCCACGCTGAAACTCAGGGCTGCTCCCAGTTCCAGTCTGCCCTTCACAACATGAGGAAAACCTGGTCTTTGCGGGGTGTGCTAAGAAGATGCTCCCCTCAGTGATATCTGTTCCCCACCCCGTCTTTAACCTCTTGGTATCACCTGTGCCTGCTCTCTCTCCCTGGCCCCAGTACTGAGCCACCAAGCGCTCAGGACTTTACCTCCCACTGTGCTCTTGAATCCCACTGGCCTGGCCCTATCACCCCACACCGTATCCCCACTCCAGGCCTCCAGGGTGGTCTTCCTACTGCCCTAGTCCATGTGGTCTCCTCACTGAGGTCCTGTTCCTACTCCTGCCCCCCACCAGCCATTCTCCACACCACCACCATGCGGACCGTTTAAAATGAGGTCACAGCAGTCCCTCTTTGACTCACGATATCCCATCACACTTAGGGAGAACGTCCACATTCCCCGTTATGTCCTGCGAGGCCTGATGCAGCCTCCCCTCAATTTCCCCTCCAGCTTCTTCTCCACTGGTGCCCCCTCACTCTAGCCACACTGGCCTCCTCTGAGCTGTTTGCAGAATATATCAACTCATGGCTTCAGCTTCCTTTTACACCTGTCCTAACATCTGCCAGGCCTGGAACATTCTTCAGGGAGATGTCAGCCTGGCTTGCTCCTTCACTCCATTCCGATGTCTTCTCAGGCAGGCCCCTCCTGACCACACTGTTCTCCACATCCTGCACCCACAACTTGCCTGATTTTTCTTTGTTGCACTTAACCAGAACCTGACGTTCTCTTACACTGCACATCATCTATGTTTCCTGTCTCTCTCCCCACTAGAACACGAGCTTCGAAGTCTTTACTTTGTTCAGTTGTAGATGATCTGCCCTAGAATAGGACTGGCATGTGAGGGTGCCCCGTGGCTGCAGGACAGATTTCTACAAGCACAAACACAAGCCACAGGCAACAAGGGCTCCCCCACTGTCAGGCTAAAGCCCAGACAGCCACTCACGGCCCTGGAGACCTGCTTCTCTGGCTCCTCCTCCAGGCCACTCTTCCCCATCACTCCCTAAACTCACCTCAGGCCCCTGCCTGTGCTGTCCCGCTGCCTGGGACCCCACTGTCCCTTCTCTGCCAGGCTTATCTGCGGGCTTCCTCTCAGAGCTTCTGCCCCAGCCCTGCCCCCTGCCCGGACTGAGTCAACAGGAATTAGGATGGATGCAGTGACCTAGCGTGGTGAGAGCCACGGGCATCCAAGTCACTAAGGGATGTTATGGGGCCATGCTGCTGAGGAGGAGTCCTGTCTCCCAGAGTTACCTGTTTGCCTATTGATTCCACATATTTATTTTGCTGGATTATTCAACTAGCTTCTGTGCAGGCAGACAGTTCTTGTCCCCAAGAAGCTTCAGTGTGTGGCTTAGAGGGGGACGATCCCTCCACAGTCCCCCTGCATTCCCACCCACAAGCGCTTCACCTGGTGAAACAGGACCTCCTGGCAGCCCCGAGCTTCCCAGCCTGTGCCCCTCAGTTCTCCTGGCCTGGGGTGTCCTTCTGCCGCCCTAATTCCTCGTCCTTCAAGACTCTCAGTTCAGACAACTCCTTTTTCAGAAGCCTTCCCTGTTCTCCTAGCTGGGCTGCTCAGGGCTGCCTCTGAGCTCCCCCCAGATTTCCCCATTACATCACTGAGCACACAGTTGTCACCATCTGCTTTCTGGCTGCAAGCGCTAGGGGATGGGCCCACAGGGATGAGCCGGCTTAGCACAGGCAGACACAGCAGAGGGCCGGCACGCGGGGCAGCGGCCGTGGGCCAGCTCCCCAGAGCTGGAAGCTGGTGGACTTTAGTAGCCAAGCGCTGGAAATTAGGGATGAATGAGGCCCCAGAACTCGAGGTGCCACAACCCCTACCTACTTTCACGGGAAAACCTTTTGAGAAAAGCATTGCAGAGAGAGGGGGGCTGACTACTCCAAAGCCACAGAGCTGAAGACTGAGCCAATTCACAGCCAGACTTGCTGACACGTGGAGGCCTAGCCCTCCCTCTGCTCCTCACAGCAGCTGTGTGGCCACCTTAGGTCTCTTCTTCCTTGTGCCCTACTTCACAAGAAGGCTTCCAGATCACTTTAAAAAGGTTCCCGGAGGCTTTGTTGGGAGGGTGAGGGATGAGGGACGAATGCTGGGCCCACAGAGGCTGGGCCTGAGGAAGTGCCTTCAACAGCAAGGGGGTCTTGGGGCAAGCGGGGTCTACTCAGGGGAATTGAGGAGCAAGGGAAAAGCAGAGGCCTTGGAGTCACACAAAACTGTCTTCAGATCCTGTGTGTGTCATCAACTGCTGTGTGGCCCAGGGAAGTCTCTCAGCCTCTCTTAGCCTCAGTGTCTCTCATGTACCTGATGCAGATAACATCTACCTCGCTGGGTGTAATGTGGAGGAGAGGACAAACACTGGGCACACAGTCAGAGCTCAGTGAAAGCCCACTCCTCCTCCCGGCCCTGCCTGCCCTGAGCCAGTGAAAGTGAAAGTCACTCTGTTGTGTCCGACTCTTTGTAACCCCATGGACTGCAGTCCACGAGGCTCCTCTGTCCATGGAATTCTCCAGGCAAGAATACTGGAGTGGGTTGGCATTCCCTTCTCTAGGGGATCTTCGCAACCCAGGGATTGAATCCAGGTCTCCTGCACTGGCAGGCAGATTCTTTACCGTCTGAGCCACAAGGGAAGCCAGCCCTGAGCCAGAGAGTCACTTTCAGTTTGGGCCCTAGGCAGGGTGACTGAATAGGGGCTTTCATGCAGAGGTGGGCAAAAGATGAGAAAATCAGGGTCACTGAGACATACGTGCTATGGATTTCACAATAGAGGATGTTCTCTGATGATCTAGATGATTCTAAGACTCTTAGTTCAGAATTCTGTGCTATCATTACTCTATGATGATAATGGCTTATACTTATTTCACCACTTACCATGATAATACTTTGGCCACCTGATGTGAAGAACTGACTCGTTGAAAAAGACCCTGATGCTGGGAAAGACTGAAGGCAGGAGAAGGGGACGACAGATGATGAGATGGTTGGATGGCATCACCAACTGGATGGACATGAGTTTGAGCAAGCTACCAGGAGTTGGTAGTGATGGACGGAGAAGCCTGGCGTGCTACGGTCCATGGGGTTGCAAAGAGTCAGACACAACTGAGCGACTGAACTTAATTGAACTATGATAAGCATTTATGCTGAGCATCTGTTTTGTTTTGCCTCCATGGCATCTCCTTAATGCTCACTCCCAACAACACTTATTCTGGGGCATCACCTCATTTTTCTTCTAGGGAATCACCCCTCTCCTACTTCTAATCCATGAGGGGTCTTCCCACCCCTGTTTCCAGGCACTGGCCTGTGATCTATGCAGACCAATGAGGCTCCATCATGGGACTTTGGTTGAAACCAAATGGGAGAGATGATATAGGAGCAGGCAGCCCATAGCCACCCTGCTGGCACATAGAGAGAACCTGCCTGTGCAATGAAGAAGTCACAGAGAAGAGCACAGTCCCAGCCGGAAAAAATAAACCCAAATGACAGAATTAGAATTCCTGGATTCAGCCCAACCTGAAATCAGATGTGCCTAGAATTTTCAGTTATATGAACCAATAAGCCTTTGTGTTTACACCTGCATAGTCAGGTAACATGTCCACTAGCTCCATGTGACTTTTTACACTTAAATTAATTAAAATAGAATAAAATTGAAAACATCCAGTTTCCCAGTTGCAGCAGGCACATTTCAAGAGCTTGGCATGCACATGTGACTGAGGGCTCCCACACTGGACAGCATAGAACGTTTTCACTGTAACAGAAAGTTCTGCTGGGCAACACTCGCGCAGACCATGTGAGTGACACTTCTGTCCCTTGTGGCTAAAAATCTTGATACCTTGTAGTTCTAAATGCCCCCTGTTTTCTGTGGTCTTTAGCTCCTTCCAACCCTGAGGTCTAATAGAATTTGTGGTTTTGCTTAAATTTTAGCTGAGATGTCTGTGTTCAGTTAGGGGTGTGGTCCTGGCCTGGGGGCTCATGGCCAATCTAAGCTGGTCTTCTGGTCTCCCTGTTCCCCCAACACATGGTGTCAACCCACCTTGGACCAGGAGTTCTCCTTGCTGAGCAGGTCTGCGTAGAAGTAAGCCATCTTCCACTGGCCCTTGTAGGTGAAGCACCACATCAGCTCCCAGTAGCACATGTGGTGGAACTGCTTCCAGTGCTGCTGGGCCTCACAGCACTCCTCGAACCGCCGGATGGCCTGTGGGTACCTGCCACTGAGCCTCTGCCAGCATCCCCCAGGCCCAGCCGTCTGCCCCAACCCCCCGCCATGCCCTCCGTCCCCCGCCACCCCAGCTCCACAGCAACCCGAGCCCCATGCCAGGCTGCCTCGGGGAGACAGCGGGTGTGGCCTCCAGCCCCGGTTCTACCCTCAAAGTCTCACATGACCTCGGGCCCAGTTACCAACCCTCCGAGGGACTCCAGTCTTTCGGCACAAAGCGAAAGGGTGTGGGACAGAGCTATAACAGAGCCGTAATAGGCAGTGGGAAGTGTTAAAGTGACATAATGATGTCTCTGCCTGAGAGCAAACTCCAAAGGTTCCAGCAGCTTCCACAAAGTGACCTGGCCCCGGGGCATCTGTCCTTCGGCCTGAGGAGCCACAGCCAGGACCAGAGGGAGGCACCAGAACTCCGGGGCACGAGTCACGGAGTCTGTCCTGGGCCTCGGCTTAATGCTGGGGATTCTGCCAGGGTGGTGAGCCTCCCCCCTCACCCCTTCCACGGCTCCCTCTCACCTCGGAGCCCAGACCCTGAGTCAGGCCCTCCAGATGCCTGCTTCACCCCCAGCAGCAGATTCCAGCCTGTCACCCTGCCCCAGACAGTGGATCCTCCCACCTCCCTGCCTTACCCAAGGGTGCTGGATTCCTCCCTCTCCCTGTCAAATCCCACTCACCACCACCGCCACCTCCTCCCTCGCCCTCCCAGACTGTCCCGTCATTGGCAGCGCCTCTCCTGGGCCCGCTCCCTTTGTGGGTCTTCTCTCAGGTCCCCCTCCCGGTCTGCCTGTTATTTGTCTGTGTGTCTGCAGCCCTAGTGACCTGGGAGACCTGAGGTGCCTCCAGCACTGGCTCAGACCCCCGTTACTTACCGCATCAACATTGCCTTTAATGACTTCAATCCGCCCAGCAAAGAACAGGAAGATGGCGCCCTACAATGACAAGTATTTGGGTTTGTGGGGGGTCCAAAGGGCACACGTGAGCTGGAGGTGTCTGCCAGGAGGTGAGGCTCACCTTAGGGTATCGCTTCAGGTAGGGTCTCAAGAGCTTCTCTGCCTCCTCGATGTTGACGTTGCCGGTGCCTGAAGGAGGTGGGGACACATCACAGGACACATCACCATCCTCCCTGGTGATCCTCCCGGAAACCTACCAGGGGCTTCTCAGGGTCTCCACTTCTGCTCTGTGAAATGCGGACGATAACTCTTCCGTCTCCAGGGTGATGTGAGGACTGAATAAGATGCTAGGGCCGACAGCATCCTCATGCCCTCTACAAGGTGGGCAGGACCCACCCCCATTTCACAGATGAGAAAATCGAGTCTGGAAGAACCCAGTCACACTGTAAAGAAGTGAGTGGTCCACTGGCCAGGCCCCTGGACAGTTGCGGTTCTGCCGTTTCTGGTTTCAGGACCCCCTCCCCAGCAGCCCCCTGCCCTCAGAGACAGTCGAAGCCCAGGGGCCCCGGTGCTCACGGGGAGGGCGCGCCTACCGAGCACGAAGGTGAGGAATGTGTGGTAGCAGAGCAGCAGCATGACGCAGAGCGCGGCGCGGAGGCTGTGCCCCGACGCCCCCTCCTGCAGCTGCAGCAGCCCGTAGTCCTGGCGGAAAGACGGGGACCGCTGAGGCCCGCCAGGCCTGGGCTCCCCCGGCGCTGCCCCAGGGCCTGGGGCAGGGGCGGGGCGGGGAGGTCCCTGGACAGCTGTGAGGGCGCACTGCTGCGGAAGGGGCCGGAGGGCGCTGGGCTCCGACTCTGGAGCCCTGGAGGCTGGGCCAGCTGCTCCCAGGTTTGCAACCAGGAGCGAGAGGCTGTCCCTCTCTTGCTGGGGGCAGAGGATACTTGCCACGGCCAGGGCAAAGGTGAGGGTGTCCCCTACCTCCCTCATAGCCCCTTCCCCATTCCTCCCTGCAGCCACCTGCTCAGTCCCCAGGGTGGGCGCCAAGGCCCTGAGCAGCCCCAAGTCTGGTGGGGGACTAGAAATGACAAGGAGGCAGATAATCCTAACCACAGGATCGGGACACAGACAGGGCCATAGGAACTGCAGGCTGGGAAGGCTCCCAGGAGGAGAAGGCTCCAGAGCCTGCCTGGGGAGGAGCAAGAAGCCAGACTACGCTTGTATAACCCCCGGCATTTTCTGCCCCACTGCCTATCCTAGAGTGCATTCCTGATCTTTCTAATAGACACATCTGATTTGCCTCACCCCTGCTGCAAAGCCTCTACAGCCCCCTTGACTTTGGGATAAAGACGAAGCCGGAGCTGGTGGGTGCAGGAGGTCCCTCTTGCTCTGGCCTTGCCACCCTCTCTTCCTGGCCAGGCCACCCTGTCCCACCTCTCAGACTTTCTCATGTTCTTCCATCATCATCCTGTGATCCTACTTAGGACCCAAGGGCCTTCTTATATAAAAAAACAAAAAAAACCAAAAAACTGAGAGGGACTTTCAGAGCCTCTAACGAGTGTTTCCCTGGGCCCAGGCCACGGACCACAGATGGCAGCCAAGCCTGTGCACGTCCTGGGACAGGCGAGAAGAAGCGCAGGATCCCAGGTGAGGAGCGGCCCTTCCCAGTTCTCGTCTGTCCTCAGGGCACAGGAGAAAGCCTCCGTGTGGTGCTGGAGCGTGCAGCAGCGCCCTGTTCTAAGCTGTCTTTCACTCAAAGAGAAACAGGCTACACAATCTGGTGGACCAAGGAAGACTGCTTGGTCCTGTAGTATTTATTGTTACGATCGTGCTCTTACCATGCCACATAATATGGGTTCTCTGTGTAGTAATGTTCCCTTCAAATAAATTTAAGTTAACAAAAATAAGAACTACATTTGAGAAAAATAATACATAAATAACAATATAGAGACCTGTGGACATGGCAAAAATCAGGAAAGGCTGGAGAAAGTCTCAGCTGGAGAAACACTAACTTGATCAGTGGAGAGGGCAGTCGCTGGTCCTTGCTCAGAGTCACAAGAAGCAGCGGATGAGGCTGGACAGACCCAGGGCTCCTGACTTCCAGGTTAAATCTCCTTGTACCCAGGTTAATGCTCTGGGTCTCCTCCACCAGGGAGCCCTCCCTGATCCGCTACCTGGCACTCAGGCTCCTGCCCTCAGTAAAGCCTCTGGGTTCTTGAGTACTCTGGTTTCCACCTCAAGGCCCAGTGCATAGCAGGGCCCCCCAAGGGCATCTCCCAGACAAGAAAATGGTCCCCAGGGGAGGGGCTTACTCAAGGCTATCTGAGGGGAGAAGGACCAGGTTCCTAACACCTGCCAGATGACCCCAGGCCCCTAAAGGACCCCAGGAGCTGCTCTTCATGCCCAACCTCACCCTAGAGCCTCTCCACCCTGAGAAGAGCCTGGTAGCAATCACTGGTCCCATTTGCAGGAGAGCAGGCCTAGAGAGGCCTGAGCCTTGTCCAAGGTCTCACACTGGGGGGTGCTGAGCCAAGGCTGGCACTAAGGCCCCACAGCCCCTCAGCCACACCCTACCAGCTGAGCTCTGGCCCTGGGGCTGAGAGGATTGGGCGCCCCAGGAGGGAGGCGGTTACCTTGTTTCCTGAAAACCCTACGAACTCGAGCAGCCGCAGGATCCTGGTAGGAAGCATGGACAGCGTCTGAAGAGAAAGGCAGCAGACCCATGAGGGATGGGGGCTGCCCCACCAACTGCAGACCTCCATAGTCCTGGGGGTGATCCCTGAGGTGCAGGCCCATCTCTGGAATGCCCATGAGGCTGCCCCCAGCTCCTCCCAATGGAGAGAAGCACTATAGCGTAACAATAAGGAACAGACTGCGTCTCGATCCTAGTCTCACCACTCCCAGCTCGGTCACCTCTCTCTGCCTGTTTCCTCATCTGTAAAATGGAAATAAAAATAGCCCCTACCGGACGGATCATATTAATACACATGAAGCACATAACAGAGGTTGCACCTAGCAGTTAGCTATTGTTATTACACTTAATCCCTGCTTTGTACCAGGATCTCTGCCATTGCATTGAATCTCAGAACAGTCTTGCAAAGAAGGGATTTACTGCTATGTTTGACAGAGGGAGAAACAGAGGCATAAGGTAAGTGACAGAATATGCCCAAGGCTCCACAGATCAGAAGTGGAGCCACTTCTTGAACCCAAGACAGTCCAGCTAGAACCTGCTAAAGTATCTGATGCAGTCTGCAGCTTGTATTTCTCAGCACTTGGGCCAGGATCACTGTTCCCATCTTACAAATGAGGAATCTGAAACCCAGACAGGGGCAGGGATCCCCATCTGAACAGGCTTTGCCTATAGGGGAGGAGCCACCGCCCACCACACACACTTTGGGGTAAGTCCCCGGCCACCCAGGGCCAGGAGTCCGAATCATCTGAGAGCAGCTCCTCCTCCCAGGAGCAGGCACACCTCTTCTGAGCCTCCCTGACTCAGCTCACGCTGTTTCCTCTGCCTAGAATGCTCATTCCGCCTGGAGAACTTCCCTTGCCTGTGGAGCCTTCAAGATCCAGCTCAAATACTCTCCGCTCCCCGGAACCTTCCCCAGCTCCCCCAGAAGGAAGTCCTGGCTTTCTGTTCCCCAAGGGTCACCAGTTGTTTCCAGGCCTGTTTCCTTCCCGGCCACTGGTCAATGTTTAACCACCAGCTTTCTGGGGAGGACAAGGCCCTGATGTCTTGTGTTTGTCAATTTCTGGTGTTATAAATACTGTCGTCATAGCTGATTTCAAGCTTCAACTTGCCTTGGGAAGAAATGTACAGAAGGGACCAGTGGAGCCACGGCCAGCCCCCACCCCTTCCCCAGCTGTGAGCTGCCCCCAGGCTGGCAGTGTGTCTGCTTCATCACTGGGGCCCGGGACAGTAGCCCGGCAGAGACCCACAGTACGGGAGTGATGTGCAGGGGAGATTAATCTTGAACCCAGATGCTGGACAAGGGGAGGGCCTGCCCACTCACCAGGTTGAAGGCTCCCACGCCGAGCTTCACCCCTCCTTCAAAGTGCCTGTGGTTCTCCCCCTTGCAGTACTGTGAGGACTGCACGAGGCTGTCCAGCTCCCTGCAGAGGGAGGCAAAGCCTGTTTCAGCCGCATCTGGAGGGCGGGGTCCCCTTCCAGCTGGGGCCAAGTGGCCCCCACTTCTTACTGATCTCAGAACTCCCTGGTGGTGGATGTGTAACTGTCTGGCAATCCAGAGAGCTGATATTCGAGGAACCTCTAGCCCCATCTCCCACCGTAATGACACACCCTTTGCTCTTGAATTTCAGTTCTATCAGCTCTCGCACAACCCCCTCGTCCGACCTCTAGGCATTGGCCTGTGCTCTGCATTCTATCTAGAGCAGCTTCTCAACCTCGGTACTACTGATAGTTTAGGCTGGATAACTGGACAATTCTTTGTTCAGACTCGGGGGGAGGGAGGCTGTCTTGCACGTCCTAGGAAGTTTAGCAGCATTCTTGACCTCTACTCACTAGCTGTCAGGAGCAGCCTCCCCCAGTATGACAAGCAAAATGTTTCTGGACATTGCCAAATGCCTTGTGGGGGGGAAACTGGCCCCAGTTGAGAAACACTGGGCTAACTCCAACAGCACCTCCTTAAGGAAGTCTTCCTGGAGTTTCTTGGTCGGAATGCAACCCTCTTACTTCTGGTCACCCATAGCTCTGAGCACATACATATGCCACTCTGCCTGGGGCAGGACAGGGAAATTAAAGAGGTACCTGCCTCCTTCCCAGGCCATGAGCACCTTGAGAGCATTCTCTCAGCAAACACTGACTGAGCTTCTCTGGACGGCAGGGCACAAAGCCATCAAGCTGCTACCTTCACAGCTCTCCCCTCTCAGGGACAGACCCGCATCGAGTCACTGAGAGGAAGAGGGGGAACCCTAGAGCCTGACCTCACTTGGGGTGCTGGGAAGGTTTCCTCAAGGGGCTGACATCTGAGCTGAAACCTGAGGAACAAGGAGCTGGTCTGCACAGAGCGTTCCTGGCAGAGAGAACAGCATGTCCAAAGGCCCTGAGGTAGGAATGAGCTGGCAAGTTTGAAGAACCGAGGGAAGGCCCAAATGTCTGAGGCGGAGCGGGGCAGGAGGTGTGGTTACAAAACTAACAGAGCTCCCAGGAGTGACTTGGCAAAGACCTGGGCCTTTCTTCTAAGAGCAAGAGGGGTCTTGGGAGTTGGCAGGGAGTGCCCTGACAAGGTCTGTACTTTGAAAACATCACTCTGGCAGCAGGTAGGGAGACTGGAGGGGCCAGAACACACGTCCGGTTTCCTTGTGCAATTCCAGCAGAGACCACACAAAGGAGCATGGTATTCGTATACTGCATGGCATGTTACACCCAGTAATAGCTTGAAATCAACCTCACAGTGTCTCCACAGGGAAACTGTCACATTAAGTGAGCAGAGTAATGACGACAGTCTCAAGTCAATTCAAGTCAATTTTTAATGGAAAAGGAGTTTCAATGCCAAACTGGGGGCGGGAGGGAGGGTTACTTACTTTCAGAGCTTTCCTGGTCTGGGAATTACAGACAAGGACTGCAGGACCATGTTGGGCAGAAGTGCTCTGGATTAAGTCTTCACTCTTTGCTCCATAAACACGGCCCTATGCGTGGCCCAGTGCTGAGCCAGCACGGAAATAACCCATCCGGCCCTCAAGGAGCTACTATTCTGGGGAGGGGGTGTGTGTATATAAGCACTGTTTCTATGTATTGGAGGGTTCAAGGAAGGCTTCATGGGGAAAGTGGCATTTGGATGGGGCCTTAACGGATGTGTAGGAATTCTACTGCTGTTCTCAAAATGATTGTTCCTGCATCTTTCTCCTACCCCAACCAGACCAAGCTGCTTGTACAGAATATGTCTTATTTTTCCCTAGTTCAGAGTTAGGCACAAAGATAGCACTTGGGGGGACCGAATGAACAGATACACCCAGAAAACCAGGGGAATAATATTCCAGAACACTGAGGTCCTGAGGTTGCAGAAATGTGAGGTCACATAGCCTTCTAGGTTTCCTGCCTCCAGCCAGCACCCTCTGCCTCCCACAGTGCAGCCTGAGGGGCACAGGACAGTAGGTGCTGCACTCTACTGTGCCCCCCGACCCCCATGTCCACCCCCCCCCCCCCAGGCCAGTCCCACTCACTTGTAGGTCTGGTAGCTGTTTCGAACTTTGATGCCACCCTTGATGAAGCTCACCATGTTCTCATCCTGCAGGAGGGAGACTTGCTAAGAGCCAGGCCTGGGTGGTTAGCCACAGGCTTGAGAGAATCATCAAAGCTCCAGATCCTTCCTGGCTCTCTCTGGGCCTCACTTTATGAGGGGGCCTGCACGGGTAGGCGTCCGAGGTCAGCTAAACTGGACCTCCCCACTCTACCCTGGGGACTTAAGACGAGGGTCTTGCTTGCCAAACAAGCCTTTCAAAATGCCCAGGGCTGGACCACAACCTCCTTTACCAGGCGCACATGTACACGTTCTATGTGCTTGGAGAAAGGCCTGGAGGAGATGCTCCCACCAGTTAACCGCGTCTCCTCCAGGTAGAGGAACTTCGGGGAGGGAAGGGCGACTTTCATTTTGGATTGTGTTTTTTCACAACAAGCAGGTATTTATCACGTTTGTAATTTAGAGCACCAATACCTGGGGACTTTCCCCGTGGTCCAGCGATTAAGACTCCACACTTTCACTGCAGGGGGCATGGGTTTGATCCCTGGCTGGGGAACTGAGATTCCACATGCCACACGATGCAGGAAAAATAAAAGAAGCACCAATGCCTACAGCCCACCTGGCAGTTCCACTCCCAGGTATACACCCAACAAGAACGGATGTATTTCAAGAAGGCTCACAGCACCACTGTTCACAGTAGCCAAGAACTGAAACAACCCAGATGTCCTTTAGCCGGAGAATGGATAAACAAACTGGCATGTTCACAGCAGGGAGTATTAAACACAGCCTCGTGTGATTAGGTAAAAAAAGAAGCAAGTCCCACACAGTTTGAGGCCTTAAGAAACTCAAAGGCAACCAAAACATAGCAATTTGGTGTTCAGACATGAATAGGAAGCTGAGAAATCATTTTTTTAAAAAATAGGGTGGGGATGATACATACAAAACTCCAGGTAGTGGTCTCCCGGGGAAGGGGAAGGGAGGAAGGAGGCAAGGAGGCTGGCCAGCAGGGTTCTGTTCTCTGACTGGGTGGGGGTTGGGGGGTGGCTCATGGGTGTTTATTTATTATGTATAATAATAGAGTACACAAAGGAAATAGAAGGCCATTCATGGTGATCCTGATGAAGAACTAAGATTAATCCAATTCTAATCATGAGGTCCAAAAAGATAGAAATATCACTAACGAAAATAAAGAACACCCCAACAATAAAATGTATATGTGCCTCTCCCACCCCAATACACCTATTTACATGATGATTGCCTGCAATGCAGGAGATGTGGGTTCCATCCCCAGGTGGGGAAGATGTCCTGCAAGGGGGCACAGCAATCCACTCCAGTATTCTTGCCTGGGGAATCCCATGGACAGAGGAGTCTGGCAGGCTACTGTCCATGGACTTGAAAAGAGCTGGACACAACTGAAGAGACTGAATACATACGCACATATATTTATAATTATACTCCAGGCTTTTTGGTAAAACCAAGGGGTCATGAGTCTCACAATTTCCACTATGGTGAAGAGCACAGGCTCTGAGTCATCCAGAAGGTATGCGCTCAGTCGTGTCCAACAGTTTGTGACCCCATGAACCTTAGCCCACCAGGCTCCTCTGTCCCTGGGATTCTCCAGGCAAGAATACTAGAGTGGCTGCCATTTCCTACTCTAGGCTGAGTCAGCCAGACCTGGTTTAAACCCCAACTCTGCCATGTGTTAGCCATATGACCCTGAGAAGGTGGGTCCTTCCCCCTAACTCTCCCCTTCACAGGCCTGAGGTGATGGTTAAATAAAATATGCAAATGTAGGTAGAAACAAATATGCACTGTGTATAAGGTATGTAAAAACAATTACCCTGCAATGTATATACAAAGTATGGTGTGTTGCAGGTGCTACAAGTCAAGTTCTTGAATGAATCAAGTTTGATTCATTCCGACTTGTCTGTTGAATGAATCAAATGTGAAGCAGGCTTTGTGACAATGTTTGTTACCCCCGTGACACAAAAACAGCAGGAAACAGCAGTTAGGAGGTGGACATGCATCCTGTCAGTGGGTGGGAACATGTGTGCCCCTTGTGGGGGGGAAGCCTGGCACCTCTGCCACAGAGCCTGCCCAGGGCCAGGAGTGCTGGGGACACTGTGCCGTGGTCCTCACATCAACCACAGGTCATGGCTTCTCTAGATCCTTCAGGCTAAGATGCGGTGCTCCACCCTCTGAAACCCCCAGGCTGCTTGTATGGGAAGCGGGTTCCTACCTGTAGGAAGGTCAGGGCCGCTCTCTGCAGCAGGCACTCTGCGTAGCAGACCTCAGCATGGATTTCCTCTGCGGGGAGAAAACCAAAGCCCCATGGCCTCCTGGGACTCTTGGCAGGAGACTTGGATCAACTCCTCATCTCATTTCCCAAAAGGCAAAGGCAGCACCTGCCCACTGCCTCCTGTGTCCCATCACCAGGTTCCTTCACACATGGCACTCCACACTGTCCCCAGTTAGCTTACATTCCCCACACCCACATGCCCCTAGAAGTCAGCGCAGGGCCCTGGGCCGCCTTCTCCTGCCCTCCAGGCATCACTGTAGGTGCGGTGCACCAACACTCCTAGGGCACTGGGATGAACGGATGAAACCAGGGAAGCCACGGGCTGTGGGAGCGAGGAAGGAGAACTGACGCAGCCAGAGGAGTCAGGAAAGACTTCCAGGAGAAGGATATCTGAGTTGAAAATGGGATGGAAGCATGAGGCAGGAAGAACTTTCTTGCCGGAGGCCCAGGAAAGTCAAACAACTCAGATGCTTGGGGACAGCTGAGTCACACAAGGTTGAAATGGGGTGAAGCAGGGAGAGACTGAGGGGACAAGGAAAATGAGGGGCAGAAGTCGGGCTGAAAGAGCCTTATACACTGGTGGAGACTTACAGATTTGGTCCTGTGGGCAGCACAGAGCCATGGAAAGTTTGAAGGAGAGAGACACCATCGAGGGCAATGTTTTGTGCTGGAAACGTTGAGGGCTCTTGAGGTGGGGATGGCCATTTGCCCCCCACTCCCACTAAAGGGTCCCCAAGTGCTTATGGTTGGCTGCTGCTGCCTCTAGGACTGCCTCACGTGGTCACGGCACAAAGATGCGAAGTGGCTCTGCAGCCCAGACCTTCTCTGCTACTCCCCAGAGCTGTTTCATCACAGGGTGTCAGGCTCTAAAACCACAGCCCCCTCTGGGACACCTGAGATCACTACGGTCTTTAAACCATTAAAACTAACTGCACACACAGCCCTAAGTCCACCCTAGCCTGAGGACCAAAGTGATAGCTCCTTTGACGGCATTTTCTTTCCTCAATTTGCAGGCCTCAGCAGGTAATGCTGTAAGGTAACTGAGTCTTACCTGCTCCCCACCCCACCCCCACACATGAGAGCAGTCCTCAGAAGGCCCCAGGTCTGACCCGTCAGTGTCTCAGTGCCTGGGCCAGGGCCCGGGCCCTGGGTGACAACGAGGAGGATAGCTGCCCCGTCCCGCCCCTTCCCGGGCCTGGAACAGGCAGCCTGGCGTCAGCGGGCTGAGAGGACGCCCTGGACGCCACACCTTCTGTGAACTGGTCCATGGTGGGGCGGTGCACCAGGCTGCTGAAGGAATCGGTTACGGAGGACTTCTTCCGGTGCCTGCAGAGAAAAACAGGGCCTCACGTCATTCAGGGAGCTGAGCAGGGGGCCCAGGCACCTCCAACAGCATCCCCTGCCCCTCCCAGAGGACCCCACACACTTAGCTCCTGGCAACTCCCCCAAATCCAGGCTTTCTCATGCCCTTGCCCCTGCTGCTGCCTCTGCATGGAGCCCCCTCCCCTGTCCCCTCTAATCTGACCTGTTCCTGGTCACCCCACAGGACCCAGCTCTGATGTCACCTCCTCCAGGAAGCCTTTCCTGCTCCTCAGGCTGGACCCCCACGGCCCCATGAGCTGCCCTGCATCATGCTGAGCTGTCACTGTGCCTGCGTCTCCCTGATCAGGATGTTCAGGCATCAGAGGGGCCAGGATCTGATGATTATCTGGGTGAACAGAGCCCAGCACAGGGACTGGCCTACATCAGGCTGGAGTGTGTCCCAGTGAATGATGACTCTACCTGTGCACAAACACGGAGGGTCTGATGGTTCATGCATTCAAGCAGTTAATGTGCACTGAACACCAACTGTGCAGTTCCCACAACAACTCTATCACCACACCCATTTTACAGATGAGGAAAATTGAGTCCAGAGAGGGACTTGCCCAAGATCAGAGAATTATTAGGTGACCAGAGCCAGGATTCATCTCCTCCCAATCCAGTCTGGCCCTGGAAGCCCTCAGTGAGCGGCTTAGACAATGTGGCTCCTGAGGCAGTGCCAACAGGGACAGCTTTGAGCACTTGGGGACACACTTTTGAGCCAAAAGGAGCAGGACTAATAGTGGCATTTTAGGCACTGGGATAGGCCAAAGTGACAAAAGGATGACTTACAACCCCTCACCCCTGCCTGCCCCATGGACCTGACCTCTGACAGAGTGACTGCGCCTCCTTCATCATGTTGCCGGCAAGTAGAATGTCCTGGGGGTCAAAGGTCATCATAGCCTGCATCTCCAGGATGGTGGCATAAGTCAGCGAGTGGTACATGCTTTCCTTGGTTCTGCCAGAGAGAAGGGACATAAAAGCATCAACCCCTAGAACTTCAAGATAGCTGACCCCATGTCATCATTCACCATCCCCTCCCCCATTGTGCATAGGGGGAACACAGGTCCAGAGAGCGAATGGACTCGCCCAACAGCTGACCCTTCCACTGCTGCTCAGGCGGCCTTGGATCCCAGCTCCTCTTCTTCCTGCTGCATGGCCCTAAGTGACTCTCCAAATCTGAGCTTCAGTTTCTCATTCATTCTATACAGACGGCAGCAGCAGCATGCTGACCTGAGGCGGTACTTCCCTGCGCCAGAGCCATCTCTTGCCTTCTCCCCTATCCACCATAGGCCAAGCCCAAGTCCTGTCTGCAGGGTCTCCTTTACCCTCAAACCCCAACCCAGGCTTACCCATCTTTATGCCTGGACGGCCCTGGCCTCGTTACCTCCTGCCTCTCCCCATCCCGTCACCTGATCACATCACTTTCTGCTTGAGCCCACCCGGGGCTTCCACCTTCCATGAGATAACTCTGGGGGTTGAGGCCCCGCCCACCTCTCCAGCCCAGTTCTCCTATCACTTCTGCTCCTGCCTCAACATCTGCTCACATTCAAATCTACCCACACTGACCCATACATGCTTACCTCAAGAAAATTCCATCTTTCCCTCCTGCAGGCCTTTGCCCTTGCTGTTCCCACAGCATGAAATGCCCATTCCCTACCCCACACCCCCTGATTCATCTGTAAAGGTGCTCGAATGCCTCACGGGCCACTGGGGCTCCCACTCCAGGGAGCATGCATCTATGCCTGAGATACAGGCCACGCTGAGTTTACATCAGCAGACGCTCAGCTCTCTCCCAGACGGTGGGCACCTCAAGGACAGAGCTGTGTGGGTTTATCTCTGTCTTAGCACCAATCTGACAGTGCAAGCTGGGTTCAGGAAGCCTCCCCCTCCTCTCTCCCTGCTCCTCCATGGCCCCAGACCTCTCATCTAAAGGGTGTTGGAGGGAGAGGGATGGCATTTAGTCTAACACATGCAGAGAGCAACCGGCAAGGAAGGATGGGACCCAGTCCCTCCCTGTACCTGGGGAAGTCACAACACATCTGGGCCTTGATTTATGGTTCTGCAAAATGGGGACAATAACGCTGCTCCACCAGAGTCCCCATGGGACTGACCAGGGATTACCCTAGCCTGGCACACAGCAGATGCTGCCGCAGTCTCCACTCCCTTGTTAACTATTTTCCAAACTCCTCAGTGCCAGGCTTATGCTGGAAACTTCACAGGAGACAGAAATGACTAAGGTTTATAGGCTGTTTATAGACTGTTATAGATAATACGACTTCACACATTTTCCTGCCTTTCTCATTCATAAAACACCTCTGTAAATTAAGTTGCTTTCCTACTTCTGGGTGATTCTCAGGTGATATTATCCTCAGAAGTCAAAGGTTTATGAAGAGAACCAGTCCTAGTAGCTGTCAGGACACCTCCCAGATCTTTGCTAGAACTGCTTGTTGGAAGGCAGTGGTTTGTGGAAAGGAAGTCACAGACTGTTGTGGGGACAGAACTCAAGCTTCAGAATATCTCAGACACAGGCACTAGTTACCAGCTGTGTGATCCTGGTGAGTTCTGTAGGCATCTCTGAGCCTCGGGTTTCTCCTCTGTAAAATGGACACAATAATTCTCTCCCAGGACTTTTGGGTATCCAGGCTGGGGCCACAATGCTAATGCTCAATAAATATGAGCCTAAGTCCCTCTGTGTCCTGCCAGGGTCAAGGGTCATTGCCCTGCATAACAACTTTCTCCTTTAGGAAGGGTTTCCCTGGCAGCACAAAGACCCACATCACAGATAACTCCCTTCCTCAGGCCTCTCTAACTCTCACTCTCCTTACCCTCAGGTAAGAAGACTTACTCAGACTTACTCAGGACTCAGCTCCACTTGCCCAGCCCAGTAGGAGGGACCCTGCCTGGGCAGTTGGCAGGCAAAGTGGAATTTCAAGTCTGTAGTCTGGACTGGGATTCAGGGCACAGAGGTATAACACAGCCCCCCAAGACCTCAGGCACCCCAAGTTTAGTTTGCATTCCACAAAGTTCTTATCCATGCCTATGGTGACTGGACCGCCAGAAGCAGTGCTCCCTTCCCTGTGAGCTAGACCCAGCTCTAGGACACAATGCCCACGGGGTCTCTGCCAGGCCTAGACCAGCTGTTGAGAGAAGGAGAGCATTGAGAGCCGCACGTTGGGATCGGGGACTCCTCGGCCACTGGAGGTCCACTAATCCCAGTGGCCTCCAGCCCTTCCCTCCCCCTGCCAGTAGCCATGACTCGCGCCCTTGTCAGCTACTTGTCAGCCATCTCTGTCCTCACCATCAGGCTGACCCTGATCCCACCCCCACTGCTCTTTCTGGGGACCCCCCTGCAGTCCCAGTCTAAACCCTGACTTCCAGAGGACCTCTCTGGGTGAGGCTGCTCTAGGCTGGAAGGCAGACAGACCCCCACCCCTGCCTCCAAGCCACTTTCCTTCATCTTCATGAAAGGCCCCCAATGCCTCTCAGCCCCACCTTGCTGCCCTCCTCTCCGGCCCACTCACCTCCAGGGGCAGTTGTACCCCCAGTCCACCTTCCACCACTCTGCCCTCACACTTCTGGGACCTACTCCAGCTCTCCCCACCCCTGCCAGGCTGAGTGTCTCTGTTCCTCAAATACACTCGGCCCTCGTTCTCTGCCTGGCTTTTGCTCAGGCTGTTTCTCTGCCTGGAAGTGCCCCCTCCATCTGGCTGACTCCTTCTCACCCAGCCTATCTCGCTTAAGTTCACTTCCTCCAGGCAGACTTCCAGGGCCGGCTTCACAGGGGTGCCATCCGAACGGTCACACAGGGGCCACGCTTGGTTCAATGCTGTGCTGTCGTCGTTTTGAAATCCTTAACAATTTTTGAACAAAGGATTCTACATTTTCATGTTGCAATGTGCCGTGGAAGTTATGGGGCTGGACCTAAAGCCTTCCTGACCAGCCCCTTCCCACACAAGTTGGGGTCCTCGTACAACACTCAGCCACCCTTTACTGTTGTTCACTGGTTCCCTGAGGAGCTCTGAGAACAGCCCATATCTTGTTCAATCCTGCAGCCCCAGCACCCCACACATTGCCATGCACACGAGGTTACTCATGAGGTGCTGCCAAGTTAAAATGGTCATAGGTGCCCAACTGCCGCATCCCATGGGTCATACCCTGACCTCGTCGTCAAGCCGCAGAACAGCTCTGCTTCTGGAGTCCTGCATGATACACCCACCTTCCAACCACAAACTCCCCACCTCTGCGCGCTCTCTCTCATCACTCCCACTGCCCGATCCTCCAGCCTGACCCCTCAAGCTTCCTCACTTCACCCACTTTCTTGTCAAAACCCTCACTGCTGAGCCTTCCAGCCCCCTGCAGCGCTGGTTAGGAGCCCAGGCCCAGAAAACAAGAAAATGCCTACTCTCTCCACAACGCTGCCACTGAGCAATAAGGGAGGAAGCCGCCACCACACGGACAGGCACATCCTAAGCTGGATCACCAACCTCAGCCCATCACACTGCTCATCAACTTTTCCTCAATCCCTGTCAGCCCCTACACCCCACCACCAGCCTGGGCCCTTACTCTCAGCAGGGGACTTGGCTTCCCCTCTCAAAGGAATCCTAGGGGACTCCCCTGGTGGTCCAGGAGTTAGGTATCTGCCTTGCAATGCAGGGGACGTGGGTTCAATCCCTGGTTGGCGACCACAATACCCTGGAGCAACTAAGCCTCGGCACTGCAACTGCTGAAGCTCCTGCACCACAACTAGAGAGTTCTCAAGCTGCCACAAAAGATCCCACGTGCCGCAACTAAGATCAGATGTAAACATTCGAGAAAAGGAATCCCAGGACAGGGCACACCACCCTCTCCCCGACAGGCACACCCCTATTCTACCTCCTTCCTTCCCACCTGGAAGAGGAGGCAGGCGTGAGGCCTCTGTGCCAGATAAACTCCTCCACCTGCTTGAGATCCAAGATGGCCCAGGAGGCAGAGTGTGGCTTGTGGAGCTGAGGAGGGGCTGGATTTCAATTGTGGTTCTGCTAGTTATCAGCCATGACCAATTTTTTCATCAAATGAGTGGAGTAGTGACCATGTTCCAGAGACAGTGCTCAGAGGCAGACATGGAGTGAAGTAAAATAAACTAGAAGCTACCCAAAAACGTGACAAAGGGAAAGCAAAAACTGGAGGGTAGGGGTTGGAGTGGGAAGCCTGGTGAGCCCAGTTACTCCCCGAGGGCAAAGTATGGATAACAGTAAATGAGACACTGTGTGTGCAGTAGAAAAGGGAATGAAATGGACCCCCAACATCTTTCACAGCTTCAGTGGCTACGACTGGGCAGGGGAGGTCATGTTTTAGCAAGAATTATTTTCTAGACCAATGGTTCTTAATAGTGATAAAGATATTTATTATACCTCCCCACACCTCCCTTCTGGAAACATTATTTAGGTGTCACAAGAAGGGGTGGGATGTATGCTAATGACGAGCACTGTTTGGTGGAGGGGGAGGCTTTTAAATGCAGAAAGAAAGGAAAGACCCTTTTTTAGAATGGGGCAGGTGCTGAGATAAACAGAGGCTACAGCGTCTCTCGAGTGAGGTAAAGGTGGCCTCACAGGAAGACTGTTCTCTCTGCTGCCTCTGGGGGCCTGAGTTCAGGACTCCCTAGGAGAGCAGCCTCCTGAGGTGAGGGAGGGCGAGGCAGCCCCTCAGGGAGGAGGGGCTTCGGGAGGGAAGAGGGCTTTGGGGGGTGAAGTGGCAGAGAGGAGCTGCTTAGGGACAAGTAGTGACCAGGAGGGAAGGGGAGCCAGGGAGCCTTCCAGAAGTACTGGAAGGTACTCAGTGATGGGGCAGGATGGAGCCTGGCCTGCCTCAGACGGTGGCCACACTCTTGAGCAGAACTGGTCCTGCCCCACCTCAAGCCAGATCCTCTCAGAGGGTGGGCTGAGGTGTGGGGGCTGCTACCAGATGGACCGCTCTACGACTCATGCCCACCAAGCCCCGGAAGTGCCCCCACAGAAGCTGGGCCGCTGACCCCAGACAGGAGAACGATGGGTCAGTCAGGTCTAGAGAAGCCGAACAGGACTGGCATGAGGAAAGCAGTAGCCCTGCCCCAGCACTCCGTTTCCTGGAGGAGATTGGGGGAAGGCAGTTCTGGTGGGGCCAGCTGTGGCACAGGACAACCTAGAGCTGAAAAGAGGGGATTAGGCCAGCAGGCGGCAGACGTGATTACACCTCACCCCGACCCCATCTCAACCCCAGGACCCAGGCTGCCACGGCTCTCTGCCCACGTGGAATAAGGTGGGGGGGGGTTGGGGCGGCAGTGTTCTTTTCCTGAAATGCTAACATCTGGGGCCCACTCTCTGCCAGCTCATCCAAAAGCTGATCCCACCAATCACAAGGCTACTTGGGCTAGACCTTCCCATTGGATTTTGAGTGAACTTGCTCTTAAATATGACCAGCCAGCCAGCCAGGGACCATGGTTGTTTCAGGAAAGCCCCTCCCCACTACTGGGAGAGGATTCTCCCCATTAAAGAAAAAAGAAACACAGAGAAAGCCAAGATTTTGTAGGAAAAAAATAAAATATTTTTAAAAGAGATAATTATTCTGTGATAATAATAACAGCAATAAATACTCATTAGAATGCTTACTACATGCCAGGCCCCATCCTCAGGACACTTATATTTTAAATATAGATACAAAGAACACAGTGCACCCATAAACCAAGAATAAGATGTTTTAGGGACATTGAGGAGTACTAGGGAATTAATCATATGATTACACAAAAAAGAAAAGTCAGTGGATTTAATGATAAGGTTGAGCAACTCTCCCAAAAATCAGGGGGAAAAAAGATAAAGAAATGTAGGGGGGCAGGGAACAAATAAATAGCTCAGAAGAGGACTGGACCAGGAAGCCTAGTGACTGATGTAAAGAAAGTCCAGGAAAGAGAAACAGAATATGGAAGAATCAAAGGAGAGAATCTCCTAGAACTGAGTTTTCAAATAAAAAAATACCAATTAAACAGACCTACATTCCAGCCCATCATTGTGAAATTTCAGATTTGCAGGAATAAGAGAGAAGATCCTAAACATGTCTGGAGAAGGAAAAAAGATCCCATGCCATGAAAGAAGAATTAGGATTCTCCCAGCTACAGTACCTGTCAGGAAATAGGGCAGAAAACAGTGACTTCAAAATTCTGAGCAGGAAAGCTTATATTCATGCAACTCTCTCTTAGTAAACTTCTAGAGGATGTGCTCTAACCAAAGGAGGGAGGATATGGATGTGAGAGAGAAAAAGCCAGGCCAAGCAAACGGGAGAGAAGTAAAGGGGATTCCAGGAGCCGGCTGGAAGGTGGCCAGTAAACAGGCCTGTCCCCCAGGGGACAGGTTTCCAGAAAAAGGAGGGACTGAGGGTTTCCTTGATATATGTGAGTATTTAGAGAAAACCTCATGACTTCATGGAGTAGTTTTAAAGAGCTCAGGATAAACATATAGCAAATTAGGCAAATGAAAAAAACAAGACAATTACTAACTCCAAAAAGAAAATGTAATCTTACAGTGTAAGGCTTATCTCTGCGATGAGCATAATTATACAGTTATAATAAAGAAAACACTGATTACTAATTTAGACAGATATTGTGATATAATGATAGGAGGAGGAGGAAGGGAGGGAGGTGGGGCAGGGGTTTAAGAAAGCTAAATTCTTGTCAACCATTTGTTGTTCAGTTGCTAAGTCATATCTGATTCTTTTGCAGCACTGTGGACTGTAGCCTGCTAGGCTCCTCGGTCCATGCGATCTCCCAGACAAGAATGCTGGAAGTGGGTTGCCATTTCCTTCTCCAGGGGCTCTTCCCGACCCAGCGAATGAACCCGTGTCTCCTGCCTTCCAGAGGGGTTCTTTACCACTGAGCCACCTGGGAAGCCCCTTGCAACCATTAGATGATATGTAAAAGCGAAAAGTAACAGGAGTGAATTTTATGGTATGTGAATTATATCTCGACTTAATTTCAGTTTTTAAAAGAAATTGAAAAAACAGGTAAGTAAAGAAAGAAGAGTTCAAGTGTATCATTTAGAAATAAGGCAGTCGACACTAGAGGAAATGGCTAAACTACTAACTGTCGTCATTGCCCCAAAGGCTTCAGTGAGAGCAATTCGTCTTTAGTACTCTGGAGAAAAATAACTAAAAGGGGCTGTTTTAGAGCTGGATTCTGTGGGAACAAAAAATCAAAGTGGAAGAAGCCACAAGAACCTGAGGAGAAGGAAGTCACAGTGACCTTGAGGAGGGCTTGGCTGTTCATGGCTGTGGAATGGGGATCCTGAGCCATTTTTATGGAATTCTCAGAGGTCAGAGTGACCTAGAAGGCCAAAGGCATTTAGCTACATGGGATTCCTCTCACGTAAGACTTCTGGTTCTCCATCTGACACCCCCATCCCTACACTCACATATGTGCATGCACACACACACACACACATCCTCCACCCCCAATCTGGGCTTACGCCTCACCTGGGCTTGAGGTAGTTGAGTGCTTCTGAGAACTGGTTGGTGAGGAAGAGGTCAAGGGCGGTCATGCACTGGTCCAGGGCCTCATGGAGGCTGCTCACAGGAGTCCTGGTGGGAGAGACACGAGCATGACCTGGAAGCTCTCAACGAGCCTCGGTTGAGAGGTTCAACCGTCCAGGCTGAATCAGAGCCTCCCAGCGCCCGTTTGACCTCCCCGGGGATCCTTGGATGCCTGTTATGAGCTCCTCCAGGCTGCCGCCTCTGTACTAGGACACAGGACAATCTGAACCTACCTCTGAGTATTCCCAAAGGTGGGAGGCGGGAGTGGAAGGGAAACGTCATCTGAGATCCAGCGGGGGGATTGGGAAGGGGATGAGGATAGGGTGTTGGGGGTTGGTGCAAGGAAGCCTCAGGAATAAATTTATCTTACCTTCCATGAGGGTAAAAGGAGACTCTGTGCCCCTTTTGACCCATTGGACTTCTCTGCCCCCACTTGGGGGGCATAGCCCACCCACTAAGGCCCACTTCAGTCCTTTTCTTCCTCCTCCTTCTCTAGGCCTTCTCGTGGCTTCCTCTGACCTGCACCCCAGAACCCCACAGGCACTGTCACAATGGGTTGGAATGGGCAGCCACCCTGTAATAGCTACCGAAGGGGGCTTTATGTTCAAAAGCCACCTTCCCAACAGCATCTCTAGTATACCTGGCCTCCTCCCAGTCTTTACACCTCTTTTTAAAAAATATTTATTCATTTTTATTTGGCTGCACAGGTCTTATTTGCAGCATGGGGGCTCTTCAATCTTTGTTGTAGATAGAGTGAGAGATCTTTGGTCGTGGCATGCGAACTCTTAGTTGTGGCATATGGGATCTAGTTCCCTGACCAGGGGTTGAACCCCAGCCCCCTGCATTGGGAGCACAGAGTCTTAACCACTGGACTACCAGGAAGTCCCCCTTACACCTCTTTATAGCTCTTATCACTCTGTGACCTTTTTTTTTTTTTAACTTATTTTTGGGTTTATTATCTGCCTTCTTCCACTAAAATATAAGCTTCCTGAGGGTGGGAATCTTCATTTTGTTCACTACTGTATCACCAGCATCTAGTATCTGGTACAAAATGGGCTTTTGATAAATGTAGGTTGTCAGTGAATGAATGAATGAATGAACAAACAAATGAATGAATAAGTGAAGAACCCTGGGTTCTGAGAGCAAATTCCTTATCTTTCTGAACCTGTTTCCTATCTGAAAGATGAGAGATGATCCCCAAAGTCCTGTCTGATTTCTTGTGAATGTTTCTTCTAAAGGGGTCTCTTTTACATAGAGAAGATTCCAAAAGAGTCTTGATGATCTTACTGAAAAAAGATCCTTAAAAGTTAAAGTTCATTCTCCACCAGATGAAGTCCTACACCTATCTTAAGGCCCAGATCTAAGGTCTGTGTGATGCATCAGCAGAATCTCCCAGGCAAAATGAAGTATGCTTTTTGGTCAAAACTGTTTCTTCTCCCAAATCTGTTCTCCAGATTTCTCATCTCAATTAAACAATGCCCCTCTATCACGTTTCTCAAGCCGGAAATATTAGTAGTCATCCCTGACACATCCTCCTGCTGGCCCCTGTCATCTGCTCCGTCAGTAAGTCCTATCAGTTCTACCTCCTGAAAATCTCTCAATTCACCTCCTTCTATACCCAGTGGCATCCAGTCCAGGCCACTACCATCTCTACCTAGGTCTGATGGGAGACTCCACATTCTCCTCCTGTCCATTCCTAACTCTTCTGTTACCTCATTCTATTCTGTGCTTCCTTTCACTTCTTGGCCATCTCTTTCACTCACTCTATTAGATTTAGAGTAATTTCTTTAGATCTTTCATTTCACTAATTCTCTTTAAGTATGTCTCATCTGCTGCTTATCCTGTCCACTGAGTTTTTTTTAATTTCAATGATTTTATTTTTCATCTTCATAAATTCTACTTGGTTCTTTTTCAAATCTGCTTGGTCATTTTTGGCAGTATTTTGTTCTCTGCTTATTGGTGCAAGTCCATCTTTGATTTCTTTCCACATTTTAAACACAGTCACAGTGTCTCATCACTCTAGGATCGTAGACTCTAATTCTGCTATTTCTTGCTTCTGGTATCTATTGCTCACAGCGTCTCGTTTCCTTGTATGTTTCATAATGTTACCACAAGCTCCTGTCTGACTGATCCCAAAGGGATTTTGAAATGAGAATCCACTTCTTCAGAGAGCATTTTCATTCACTTCAGCCAAGTTCCCTGCGGTGCTACCACCCTAAGACCACTTATGTTACTTTTTTAGTTTAGCGTTTTCAGGACCACAGAGGTAGTGTATATTCAAACCTGAAATTTGTGTGAGAGCTGACTGGTATGCATAATTTTCTAGGGAGCCCCTCTGTCCCCACCAGAACTGCTGTCTCCCTTTGTGGTGTGTGGGTGTTTTTCTCCTAGTCAATATCCTTACTTGCTGAAGACACCCTTGAGGGTGGCATGTTCATGCAGTGGTAGGGTGGTAGGGAGGGAGGGAGGGAGGGTGGTAGGTAGTAGGGAGGATAAGTTCCGACTCCTCACACTGTTGGGTAGCCCCTCACACTTGTTTCCCATTCCTTGTTGTTGTTGTTTAGTCACTATGTCATGTCAGACTCTTTTGCCATGCTATGGACTGGAGCCCACCAGGCTCCTTTGTCCATGGGATTTCTCAGGCAAGAAAACTGGAGCGGGTTGCATTTCCTTCTTCAGGGGATCTTCCCGACCCAGGGATCGAACCTTCATTTCCTCATCTCCTGCACTGGCAAGTGGATTATTTTACCACTGAGCTACCAGGGAAGTCCATTCCTTAAGTGTCATTAAAACTCCAGATTGGTTTCTGTAACTTGTAAATACCACCAGGTTGCTGCGGCTTCATCTTATTTACCGGCCTGATTTCAGCTCCCTTGGCTTGATGGATTTGTTACTTCAGCAGACTCTCAGGAATGTATGTTAAAGGATGAATATTGTAACTCATCCAGTCTCTGGGTAGTTTTACTAAGGGATAATGTAATAGCCAAGGGTATCTTTTTAAAACCCAAATCTGACCATGGCATTTCCAGGCTTGAAAGCCTTCACTGTCTTCACTCTTGGGATAAAGCCAAGAGTGTCTTCCTTTGCGCCCAAGACTTAGCCTAATGAGTGGGGTTCAGTCCATTCATCCCTGCTGGTGAAATCAGTCATAAGGCAATGCGTACCTGCTGCCCCAGGCACTTGACTGGCGTCCTCTCCTTGAGCGCTCACAAAGCTTTGTGAAGTGGGATTACTCTCTCACTTCAGAAGAGGAGACTAAGGCACGCAGAGAGGTGATTTGGCCAAGGTCACATGCCCAAGCATGGCTTCTAACCCAAGTTTCTGCCTAAGCCAGTGCCCACCAGCTCAGCCCCAGGGAGTCAAGTCCATTGTCCTGGATTCTGTCCATCTCTAAACAATTTCAGAGACAAGAGCCTACCTTCCCCTTCTGTACACACCCCACTGCCACTCCCACCACCACCTCTACCTGCATCAAGAAAGAGGTTCTGCTTCCTCAGTCTACCTGGAGAGAAAGACACACAGACAGACAGACAACACAAAGGCACATATCCCCTTCTCTGGCAGCCTCAGCACCTCTTCCCCTTAACTGTGGTGAAGCGGGTCTGCGGTGACCTCTCCAGACCTGGGGCTGGACCCTGGGGAAGAGAGACTGCACCCAGACCTGGGCCTGCCCTGAGGGCTACACGAGGCAGAGGCATGGACAACCAGAACTACCAGGGCTGCGCTCACGGGCATCACCGAGGGCTGACAAGACCAAGGAAATTTTCTGGGTGTGATGGCCCTGAAGCGAGGACTAGATGGAGAAAGCAGTCCCAGAAGGGGAACAGAGTGTGAGCAAAGGGCTGGAGGCATGGCACCATAGTGGGGAGGGGGGGGCGCCAGCCACCATGGGGCAAGTATGGAAGACAGGCTTGGCAAGGCCTCTAAGTGAAAGAGTGAGGTGGGGGCATCCCAGCTGGCTGGGGAGCTCAGGTGGGCTGGAGACATCAGCCCCACTGGACTTAATAATAGCACTAACAAATACCCGTCACTGCCAGGAGAATATCACTTCAAGTTATCTAAATTGATGCCTGCATTATTTCACTCAATCCTCCTACCAGCTCCAAGTTCTTATCTGCATTTGACAGATAAGGAAGTGAAGAAAGTGAAAAGAGGAACCTGGTTTCCTGCTCCCAGGAACCTGGGAGAAGACAGAAATACTTTCTGCAAAAGCAACCTGCCAAACTTTTCCCTTCCCCTGGCTGTGACTGAGGTCCCCACTTCTCTGTAGGCTGTCCCCATGTTTTTAAGGCCTTTCTGCTCCAGGCTCCCTGCTAGGGCTCAGGCCAAAATATTCCTGGGCTCCCAAGTGGTGATGGTGGCCTCTTCTGTGCTGCAGGTGGGTGGGTGGGGATGTTGAGCTGGATGGAGTGTGGAGCATGGCTAGTGACAAGGAACACCAGGATCTTTAGCATAGTGGGGAGGGGTCTTGAAGTCAAAGTGAGAAGAGAGCTGAAGGGTGGGAGGGGGTGTCCAGCCTGGAGCCATCCCTCTCTCCCCTTCCTTCCCACTCCTCCACTTCAGTCTGCCTGGAAATCACTACCTTAGTGTGTGATGGGCAGAGCTGGGGCACCCTCACACCTGCTGAAAACAGAAAACCCTCCTACCCAGCCCTCAGTCAGGATGAGGTGGGTGGAGGCAGGGCAAGGCAGCCACTCAGCAGACGGGAGTCAGAGTTGGCCTCTGCTTCCTGCTCCAGCATTCAGGGAGAACTCTGGCTCAGGGGAACCCATCTGTGGGGGACCTGTTGCTTCCACAATGACCTTTCTAAACTGCAAATATGATTGGGACTCTGCTTCCAGAGTCACCCTTAGCTGTGCAAAAAGCCAGTACCACGTGGCAGGGAGTGATGTGGTGTGGCCTAGGTAGTGTGGAGTTTTGAAAGCAGACAACCCTGGACTATAGATGCAGCTTAGCAATCACTTGTTGGAAAAACTTGAGAAAGTTCTTTAACCTCTATGAGCCTCAGTTTCCTCATCAATGAAATGGGAATGACAGTAGCTACCTCC